CTCTAGAAACGATAGCAACGACGGGCAGGGTGAGAAAACCACCAATCTGGTCTGCAGATTATGTCACAGGAGAAGGGCTATCAGATACAGAGGAAGAAGCAAACATGGCTAGAGTCGAGGTTGAAAACCTAGCTTTCATGGTTATATCAGATCCGACCAGTTTTCAAGAAGCATCAGGACATCAAAAATGGAAACAAGCGATGGATGCTGAGATACAATCCATCGAACGGAACCACACGTGGTCGCTGACTGCACTTCCCATTGGAGCCAAGGCTATTGGGGTTAAGTGGATTTACAAGACCAAATTAAATGAACTGGGAGAGGTAGATAAGTTCAAAGCTAGGCTGGTTGTAAAAGGGTATGCTCAAGAGTACGGGGTAGATTACACAGAGGTATTCGCACCGGTGGCTCGAATGGACACAATAAGGATGATCGTTGCTGTTGCAGCACAAAGAGGATGGGGAATCTATCAGCTCGATGTCAAATCTGCTTTTCTGCATGGTGAGTTAAAGGAAGATGTATTTGTAGAGCAACCACAAGGCTATGAAGTAGCAGGGAAGAAGGACATGGTTTATAAGCTACATAAGGCTCTTTATGGACTAAAACAAGCACCTAGAGCTTGGTTCAGTCGCATTGAGGCTTATTTCGTCAAGGAAGGGTTTGTAAGCAGCTCTAGTGAACAAACATTATTCATCAAACAAAAGGGAGGTAAAATCTTAATTGTGAGCATTTATGTTGATGATCTACTGTTCACTAGTAATGATGAGGAGTTGCTGAATGAGTTCAAACACTCCATGAAGGATGAATTCGACATGACTGATTTGGGGAAGATGAGATATTTTCTTGGTATTGAAATGATGCAGAAGGCTGATGGCATCTTTATATGTCAAAGAAAATATGCTGCTGAGTTGATCGAGAGGTTTGGGATGCAAAATTACAACTCCGTTTGTAATCCGATAGTTCCTGGACAGAAGGTTGGCCGAGATGAAGCTGATGTGAAGGTCGACTCAACGCTATATAAGCAAATGGTGGGCAGTCTAATGTATCTCACAGCCACCCGACCTGACCTGATGTTTGTGGTAAGTCTTATTAGTCGTTTTATGGCAAATCCCACTGAGTTGCACTTTGCTACTGCAAAAAGAATCATGAGGTACTTGAAGGGAACTCTAGAATTTGGGATATGGTATCAATGTGAAGGGAAGAGTGAACTCTTAGGCTACACCGACAGTAACTATGCGGGAGATGTGGATGACAGTAAGAGCACTTCAGGCTATGTTTTCTTGATGAGTGGAGGAGCTGTGGCATGGTCCTCAAGGAAGCAACCAATCGTAACTCTGTCAACTACTGAAGCAGAGTATGTAGCAGCAGCTACATGTGCTTGTCAAGCCATTTGGATGAGGAGGATATTGAAAGAAATCGGGCATGAACAAGATGAAGAGATGGTTCTGTTCTGCGATAACACGTCCACTATCAAGTTGTCAAATAATGCAGTCATGCATGGGAAGTCAAAGCACATAAGAGTCCGATACCATTTTCTCAGAGATTTGACAAAGGAAGGTGTCGTTAAATTGGTCTATTGCAGCACCGAGGAGCAGCTGGCTGACATAATGACAAAGCCTTTGAAGATGGCATCATTTCAAAGAATCAGAGAAGCTTTTGGGATGAGACTTATGAACTGAAACTCTTGATCGAGTTCAGTTCAAGGGAGGGATTGTTGTGTAAGTTTTTAGTTTTTCCAATAAATACCTATTATTTAGGCTAGAGCAGGTCAATTTCTGTTTTGCTATTTTTTTGCTATTAGTGGAGTTAGTGGAGCTAGTTGAGTCATGTCCTTTATTTTAGGATTTGCAGTTATTTACAGTTTTTATGTATTCCTTATAAAAAGGCATTGGAACCTATGAATAAAGCGATCATTTTCTGGTGCATTTGCAATTCACTTACAGTTAACATTTTTATGGTGTTTCATGCGTGATTGCTGCAGTTGTTGATGGTGTTTGTAGGAGTCGCGGTGTTGTTGAAATCACTGAATCAGTGTGTTGTTGATATTGAGTGTTTTACGATGACTGAGTTTAATGTAATGGTTGTTATTTGGTTCCGACGGCGGAAATCTGAATGGAGGAGTATTGTGCGGTGTACACGAGGATGGTATCGATGTGGTGGTGGTTCGAAGATGTGGCCAGAAGTTGTTTGAAGATGGAGGAGATTGATTGTCGACGGTTCTGTTGTAAGGAGGACCATGTGTGGTTGTGGGGGAAGGAAGAACGAGTTAGTAAGTTAGTTTTGTGAAGAATATATACTCTTCTGTGGACAATAACAATAATAATAATGGCTACATGAAGAAGAATGTGATTATGATAAAAATGAAGTGAGTATTATAAGTGGAAAAATGAAGAAAAACATTATGTATGGGATGAGATTTATTGATATACAACAATGAGACAACAAAAATATGTTAGTTTTTTGCAATGAAAAAAAATTGTGGATATCAGTATGTTTCAAGTTTTTGAGGTGCAATGTCACTTTTCTAGTGAGGATCAAGAGAATGTTTTTATTGAATTTTCAGAAAAGTTGAGAGTGTATATGGACAAGTGGTGCCGCATGTATATTTTGTCTAGGTCTCTCCTCCTTTGCTGTCTCACAATACTAACTATATATACATATGAGTTAGATTTTCCTATTTTTTAATTCCAACATTGCCCTCCTAGACTATTTAGTGAACAAGAATGTTAAAAAATGAATATTTTTTTGTACTATTTTTTATGTGCAAAATTTGTGTAGAAAAGATATTGAATTTTTTTATGGACTTTGACATATTTTTTGAATGGGCTTTAGAATGTAACTTTGAATTAAATTTGGAATGAGTATGAATTTGACAAGAAATTAAATTTGTGCTTTGAATTGAAGGAGAATGAATTGAATTGTTTGTGATTTTAATGACTTGAAATGAATTTGAAAGGTAGTTGAAATTCGGAAAGAAATTGAAAATTAAAAGAAATTGAACTTGAATGAATTTGAATTTTAAAATGAACTTGAAACTTGAATGGGATAGAATTGAAAATTGAAATGAAATTGAATTGGATGAAAATGGAATTGAGACTTGAATTAGATTGAAATTTAAAGTGGAACTGAATTTGAATCTTGAACTTTGACTAAACCGTGAATCAATTCCAAAAGTAAACCACTTGAAACAATTTTGCACAACTGACGCTCTTGACTTGATCCGACAAATTATCCTTGAAGCCACGTTTTAGGATCGTGAACTTTTCATTAAAAGCGTACCATAAATGCATTGAAACCTTGAAACAATTCCATGAGACATAACACCATATCCTGATTTCATCTTGAAATGACCTTGAATAGAAAGCTTGAATTTTTATATGACAAGAACATGAACCACAAATGAATTGAAGTACTGATCAAATGCCTTGAGTCTTGATGGCTCTTACAACTTGACTTCATCCCTAATCTGATCGTTTGATGAATTTCAGACATAAACCACTTGAGTTTGACATTTCCTTACCCTTAAAACGACCCATAACACAAGTGACTTGAATTTTTCTTCCAGTGCACCAAAACTCTAATTGAAAGTGAAATGGCTCTGATGATTATCCATTCTGATAACCTGACACTGAAACAAACCACTTGTTTTACCAAGATTAGGTCAAACTTCCCATGAATTTCAACCATACTGCACACACACTTGACCTGAAACAATACTGCACATACACTGAACTTGCTAGCCTCAAATGAAACTCAACTGAACGACATTTGCTCATTTTAAACTAAAGGCTGAGAAACCCTAATCTTCGCCTTGAGTGCACACTGATGAAATAATGACTTGCTGAGAACCAAAACCTTGATTCAAAATCTTTGCCATGACCTGCTAACCTGATACTGAAGTAAATCATTTGTTTGACCAAGATTAGGTCAAGCTTCCACTGAATTTCAACCAAATATGCATACGTATTTGACTTGATAACTTTGCCTGACCCTTGATTCGATCTTGCAAAATCTGATCTTAAGCAGCAAGAAAACGAAAAACAGAAAGACACACATTTTCGTAGGTATAATGGTTAGATGACCTGAATTTTTATTATAAAATATATTATTTAATGTTACAGGATCAGGAGTTAATTAATGATGTCATCCCTACTTATTTTTAGATGAGATAATTATTCCATACTAACCATGCTTACTTCTGAGAAAGAAATGAAAAGGTGATTTAAAACAAGAATATAGATGGAGCACCGAGTACCATGACCTTATGGCTTTGGAGCCATTTTATTCTAAAGCTCTTGTCACATTATCCAAAAAGATGGCTTCAATGTTGTCATGGAATTATTCACAACAAGTCCCTTCAATCCTAATTATAATGACAACTCTCTTATAATCAATCCCAAAACTACATATACAAACACCACGGAGAATTTGAGACCAATAGCCAAGGAAAAATTCAAGTTTAAGATTGTCTCCAATAATAACAAATGAGTAATTAGCCATTATTCAAGGAAGAAACGCAATAGATTGTTTTTTCTTAGAATTTTAAGTTGTGGTTGTGATATTAGCAGGTGTACTAATTCGTTCACTTTGTAAAATCGATAAATTCCGAGAACTCAAAGACGGTTGATTATTATCGAGTTTTATATAATTATTTTATTTGAACAAAAGTTTTATGGTTGTTGAATTTGGTTTGGTGTCTAAAATATAAACTAAAACTAAAAAGAAACAAGAAAGAACTATTTATAAAATTTAATGCCATTAAATAAACACAAAATGAACATTCTCCTTAAAAAATAACCTAAAGATAAAATTAGTTTGAAGTAAGCAAAATGGGGAAGACATCACTTATGTATCTTACTCCATCATCCATGAAGTAACATTATTCCAAATACTTCATTAGAATAACACAAAAATTAAAAGATAATCCAAAAACATAGAAGCTTGAAAACATGAATTATGATCTTTAAGATAGAATCTATATGCCAAAGATTCCTTGCAGCTCAATTAACTGAGGCCATGTGTCGGATCAAGTCAACCACACGTGAACTGCATTTGAAACCAAAAGAAAAAACATCATTAAAAACCAAAACTAAGGATTAATTCAAAGTACACATAATAACTTCATGAATCTGTGTCATACTCATACCTATATCCCCATTCATTGTCATACCAAGAAACAAGTTTCACAAAATTGTTATTCAAAGAAATTCCTGCCTTTGCATCAAATATGCTTGACCTGCTGTCACCAACAAAGTCAGTAGACACAACATCATCCTCAGTGTAACCTAGGATGCCCTTCAACTCTCCCTCAGATGCTTCCCTATGAAAAAAATTTAGACAAGAGAAAATTATCAGCAACTTGATTATTATATCATTGTAGCTTATAAGAAAAATTTATTAATTATTACTTAATTGCAGCTTTGATTTCATCATAGCTTGCTCCTTTTTCGAGCCTAACTGTAAGATCAACCACCGAAACATCTACGGTCGGGACTCTGAATGACATTCCTGTTAACTTGTTGTTCAATGATGGCAGTACCTTACCAACAGCCTGCAAAAAATGATTAAGAAACATATATGATATGTCCATAAACAGTTTTGTTTTCAGCTTATGATGCTGTTTGTTAGAAATAACTGATAGCAGATAAGATAGCTGATAACTTATAGCTGATGATTGATAGCAGATAAGATAGCTGATAACTTATAGCTGATAATTAATAGCTGATAACGTTCAAATTTTGCTACGTTATAGTGCTAACGCGCAATAGTACTATATCGTCAGATAAATACCTTTGCAGCTCCGGTACTGCTAGGAATGATGTTAACAGATGCAGCTCTACCACCTCTCCAATCCTTCATTGATGGTCCATCCACAGTTTTTTGAGTGGCTGTATATGATAAACAAGTTAGTTAATCGCGCTTAAGTTAAATGTTCATTCAATCCGAACGTAAATAATGCATAAGATTACAAACTTACCGGTAATAGAGTGGATAGTACTCATGAGACCTTCAACAATACCAAATTTGTCATGAATGACCTGAATATATTTCAACAAGAACATCAAATGAGATTTTAGTTTTTCTCTACATGAAAAAAAAGTGCTTCTAGATTTAAGCACTTAAAAAGAAGTAGTATTACCTTTGCAAGTGGAGCAAGACAGTTGGTTGTGCAGCTAGCATTAGAAACAATATCAACATCTGACTTGTACTCTTTTTCATTCACACCAACTACATACATCGGTGCGTCCGCGCTAGGGGCGGATATAATTACCTTCTTTGCACCACCCTAATATCCAAGAACATAACCATAATTTAGGAGAAAATAAAGAAGAATCTAAATTATAAACTATATCAGTGTTGCATGAAAAATAGTAATTTGTTTATATTTTGCTATGATGCAACGCTATAGCGTTGCAATCATGTATATTTTTTCGAAAATATATTGATTTGTTCAAATTTTGCTATGCTATAACTTTGACGACAAACCTTCAAATGGGCAGAAGCCTTGGTTTTATCGGTGAAAACTCCGGTAGACTCCACAACATATTCAGCTCCAGCCTCACCCCATGGAATTTCTTCGGGATTTCTAATAAACAAGGAAAAAATTTATTTTGTATCAATAATTTAGATTCAGTTTGGTAACGCCAAATCGCTAACTTATAACAGATAATGTATAGCGTTCAAGTTCAAGCAATCAAAGTATAACTGTTTTCAGTAGTTTATAGAAATTTTCTTAGATGCTATGGAAAGTAGCATTTGAGTCTATAGTTTACAAAAATTAATGTATATGCTATGGAAAGTAGCTAATGGTTAGGACATACTTGCAACCAAAAACAGCGACGGGACTAGCGCCAAAAAGGAGAGTTTTGTTGTCCTTAACTGAAATTTCACGGTTTTTTAGAACGCCGTGAACTGTGTCATACTTGAACATGTAAGTCTGCAGAAAAAATATCATGTAGAGAAGGTCAAAATCATACATTTGAAGTAATTGGGCGTGATTTCAAAATAGAAACTAATTTAACACTTGTTTGAATTTATCAAACGCGCTGCGAATACTCAAAAACTAGTATTTGTAGCTTCAGAAAAATCATGGTCATAATACATTGGGACGCAAGAAACATAGACTAATCGCGTATCCAAACAAACATTTAGTAGTTTGCTTACCATGTAATCAGTTGTGATGAAAGGATCATTAACGGCAACAAGCTCCACATCATCTCTCTCCAATACCACTCTGGCCACCAAACGGCCGATTCTTCCAAATCCTTCATTGTCACAAACAAGCAATTTAGTCGGACAACTTCCATAAAAGATAGATTGCGTCCACACTCCCAAACTCATATGATATAACATATCAGATAATTTTATCTTAATGTAAAAATTTATAAAAATAATCTATATGATAATAATTTTCAATTCATCGTTCAAATTTATAAAATATGTATCAATAAAATGTTATGGAACCGTGTTACTTGATGTGTCATTACATACGAGCTATACTAACTAACAAAACATGAAGAAAAAAAATGGCATTATTGGAGTACCATTGATGCCAATCTTGATCTTCCCCATGAGTCTTTGTCACTATGATTTGATTATCAAGAAATAAAAGGTGTAGTACTCAAAGTGAAGTGAGAGTGTTGATACATATATATTGGACATAACATAAGAGAAAGTTGTGGTGTATCATCCATAAAGTTTGTGGTTCATCAATGCATCCCTTGATATCGAGAGAAATTAAGGTTCAAACACACAAAGTATAACTGTCCCACAATAATTGGATTTCATCATGAATCATTCAAACCATACAATACTAATTTTTTTTACTAATTATTAAGTAATTTTAGTTTTTTTTTCTACTAATAATTTAGAGAGACAGATAGAGAATGGAATAATTAAAAAATATGAAGACATGCATATAGAGAATACTCATAATATATAGGTATTGTGATGTCTTCATAATTTTACCATTGGTAGATTTTTGTAATATTTAATTTTACACTTATGAAGTAAGTATCTCCATTAAGAGTCTCCATGGCTAGTAGATGCGTGATTGTCTTACTATTTATTATAAACATGATCGACCTTCTTCAAATAGATATCACATGAATCGTGATACCAATTCTTATTAGTTAGTGGTTATCTAAATAATTTAGCCAAGATATTAGATAAACTCTTTTACATAATTTTCAAATTGAAAGTTTAGTAAGTAGCTAATTTGAAAACCATATTTTGATTTATAAAAACTAAAATATATAGGTTAAGTGCAATAATGTTGGAATATATAAATAAATATGTTTAGTTTGAGCGATATTAAATGTTCAAATAATGTTTTGTTTTGTAGTATCCATGCAAATTAAAAAGATATTCACATTTTCTTGCTTTAGTGTTATCATATTTCAACTTTTACGTAGTTTCTTAATATGGACCATTTCTTTCATATTTTATCATAGTAAATATTGATCTTTTATCAGAAAAAAAAATCCGGACCTAAAACCTAATTTATCACCTTTTGCACAGACTCATGTAACGTAAATTCATGTTCAATGTGAAATTCTTTTTTAATATCAATGTATATAACATTAAGTAGGGGAACTCCCGACATACCATCCTCTAATGCATTGGTTGGATTGACAACATCAGGCTACACTATACTTATAATCATTGAAAACAAACAACATTCAAGTAACCATTTCAAATATCTAGAAGTTAATATCTAAAGGAAGTTTAAAAGGTTTCAAATGGTATCGTCTAGACAACTTTCTTAATGCAGAAAAAATCAAATTATAAAATAATGAGAAGAGATAGAGATATATATTGCCCTACTTTAGGACAACTATGAGATTTATGATGTCAAGATATAATTGAATTTTATTATCAAATACAATAATGAATAAGAAAGAAATAATTTTTAAGAGGATTTAAGAAAATATGACATAGGATCTTGAGTGAAAGGATTTAAGAAACTAATCATGCAAAAAAATGTTACGATCCAAAAGTTAACCTCAAGACAATGTAACTTGGTGTCTGAAAGTTATCATCCGAACACGTAATTTTCACACACCTATTTCATAAAGTTTGAGATACAAATATATGATGTAATAAATAATCCTTTTACTTTTTCATCTTTGTTTATTGGACTTTGTACAATGGCCCATTTGTATTCTAATTGTGTCTCAAATAAAGCCTTATTTGTAAATTAGAAAAAATGTGAGTGTTGTTCATTACACATCATATAGTGATCACACACTCTATGGAAATTTCAAAATGTTTTTCCTATACTCCAGATTTTAATCTTCAGACGCGCCCATTCTTTAACAAAATCACTTCATGACTAGGACACCCTCATTTTTGTCACAAAATTGGTTTGAATTGTAATCTATGTATCATAGGTCCATATTACAATCTCCTGATATACCATTTGACAGTGTTTTCCATCCTTTGATATTAAGTTAGATAAAGTTTGACATTTTTTAATAAAGTTGAATTATAAATCATTTATAAAACAATTCCATAATAAACCACACACATTCGTCCCTCAATAATAAAATAAAAATAGAAGAAATACTAAGTATATACAAATGCCAATATGTTAGATACAAAATGTCACCATATAATAAATCTAATTATAAATCCTAATACAAAATTGTCAAGAAGAAAAAGAAGTGGTTTTTTTAAGTCATTTGTGGATCCAAGAAAACTGGAGCCAACAAAGAAGTAATTTGTTTTGAATGCAATGAATGGGGTGTTTACAATAATGACTTCCCCAAGTTGAAGAAGGAAAGATCCAAGAAGAAATACTTCTGAGGGTAGAAGAAGGGTCTAATGGTAACATGCGATGTGTTACACCCCAAAATTTTCCCTCACTTTTTCTAACTTTGACTGGTTTTTGCTTCGCACTCATATGCATTTTCATTAGGCCATAGTTCGTAATCATATTTTGCATTTATTTTTTAAGACATGGGATCAGGAGTTTTCTCTGAATCAAATCATCGAGTTTCATGGCATTTAGACACGTGTCCACCCACAATTGAGTGATTTTCTGAATCTCTGTTATTTTGTCCAATGAGAGCGTGACACGTGACCTAAGAATGTTATTTTTGTAAATACTAATTCCATTTTTAGTTTCCTAATTTTTTTCTTATATATTGTTTTTGTTTGTTAATAGTATTAATAGTAAGATTGTAATATATTAATTAATTAATAGATTTTTTTTAGAATTAGATTTTTTAGAATAGAATTATTAGTTAATTGGATTTAATTAAGAATAGAATTAGAATTTTATTTAGAATTTAGAAATAGTTTTAAATTAGAAATTAGAATTTTCATTTAAAATTAGAGTTATTAATCAAGTAGAATTTAGAAATAGTTTTGAATTAGAAATTAGAATTTTCAATTAGAATTAGAGTTTAGGATTTAGAAAATAGATTTTAATTAGAATTTCAAATAGAATTAGGACTTTTATTTTTAAAAAATAGAATTAGATTTTTTTATTAGAATAGAATTGATTAGAATAGGATTAGATTATTAATTAAGAGTTAGTTTAGAATAGATTTTTATTTATTTATTTATTTTTAGATTAGAGTTTTATTATACAGAAAATTAAAGAAATAAAAAAAAAGAGAGGACACGATTTTTCAGAGGATATAAATGGTAGCCCTTCCACTGTTCATGGTCTTTCACATTGACATAACCTAGCCGCCGGACCTTCATATCCAACCTCAACTCTCCGAAAAACTCCTCAACCATCTTCATCACCATTCCCGTAACGTTTCTCACTCAAACTCTTCCTACACTCTTCATCTTTCTCCCTCCCGCTGAAACCCATCCTCCCTCCTTTTCGTTTTCCGCCGCGACGTCCCTCAACACCTTCCGTACCACCCCTTTTAAAACTCATTTCCTTCATAAACAAAACATAACCATCACAAACCGAAAACCCACATCCAGAACTTCCAAGCCAAAATCATTTTTCAACAAAGCCAGTTTGAACCCAAATCAAAATCAAACCCAGAAGGAGAAAGGGAAGAGTACGAAAAATCTGAAGATCTCCAAACTTTAAGAAAGTCCCAAAAATTGAACTTAACTTGCAGTAATAACATGAATCTGAGCGAGACTCGTTCGCAAACAACACAAATCCAGAAAACTGGAAACGAATTGAAGAAGAGAATGCCGTCTTCTGCATTTTTGTTTTTAGACACCTAAGAACTACACGGCCACGATTGGGTTTGTGAGATGTTTTGGGTTGGAGGCCCAATAAAAGTTTCTAATCACAATCTCATCTGTTTATATACCCCCTCAGGGCCCTTTTTTTCTTTTTTTCTTTTTTTTTTTAAATAAAAGTTTAGAGTTTTCTTTTATTTTTATTAGTTTTTAGAAATTGTAAAATATCATCTAAATATGTTTTTAGAGTTTTTTTTTATATATAATTTTTTTCTAAATAGTTTTCTGAATTGTAAATATTTTTTCTAATTAGTTTTTTTAAAGAATTGTTAATATTTTGTTATAAGTTAGTTTTTAGATTTCTAATATTTTTCAAGATTTAGTTTTTTAGATTTATATGTATATTCTTCTAATTAGAAAAAATAATTAGATTTTTAGAAAGTTTTCTAGAAAGTTTGTAAATATATTTTGCTAATTAAATTTTAGAGTTCTTATATTTTTTTAAATTTGGATTTTTAGGGTTTTACTATATTCTTCTAAAAATTAGATTTTGGTTTTCTTATTTATCTTTGAGGTTTTATTTTTCGGTCGATGACGAGACCTCCAAAAAATCATTACTAGTCAAACTATTGATAAATAATGATGGATCCGAGACCACTTTTTCTCTCCTCATTTCTTCTTCATTTTTTGATTTTATTAAACTTTCTTGATCTATGAAGTCTTTTATTCGTAAGCGTCGATTTATCGAAGTCGATAACCTTCGTAATTTCAAATCTATGGAAAATGACCATTTGAGTCATTTTCTTTACTTTGGGACCGTGATGGGCTACCTTCGATTAATCGGCATAATGTTTGCAATTAAGACGAGATCTCACCTTTATTTAGTTTGTGCGACACGATTAAATCAGAGAATGATCCTCAATATAATTTCTCTATCTTTTCTTTTGCACGGATATCAATTTATGCAACTTCCTATAGTTAGACTTTCATCATAAGTCGAGCTACGACGGTTTAGCGTCACATTTGTCCTAACTCAATTCACTAACAAACTAACCACTAACTTTACTTTCTGTCAAATATCAACTGCTTTAAATTCAGTCATTATATTCTTGTACATATTGTTATATTTTGTATATTATCCATATCTTGTAAATATTCAAATTGACTTGTACATTCTTTCAAAACACCTAATAAATTATCAAAACCATAAAACCCCAAAATTGGTGGACTGTTGGTTATATATCCTATACATTATCTGTATCCTGTATATATTCGTACTCATTTCCTATCTTATTCACATCTTTTCCAAACTTCTTTTCAAAATCTTTTCTCCTAAAACTTTGGCCCCGTACCGAGTGCATTTTCGAAACTCTTATCACAATAAAACTTGAATGGTTGTGGAGTGGTTAGGC